ACACCAAGAAGGCTAAAGCATACACTCAGCTGTCAGACCAAGGGCTGCTCTATAATACCCTATGTAGTTATAACAGTTTTTAAAAAAGTGTTAAGAGTTAGTAAGATAAGAGTAAGATAACTTTTATTGACCAAGCCAACCAAAAATTAGTTACAAAAAAAGATCTCAAAACGAGTATAAGCGAATTTCCTATTCCTTACTGGTGAACATAACTTCATAACTGATTATGAATGATTACTGAAAGGGTTTTTTCGCCTAGCTCATGCTGTTTCTGAGTTTTCTGAGCTCTTAATCAACTAATTCAAACATTAACATTAAACAAATAATAATAATAATAAAACAAACATTAACTCTTGCAGTTCCTCTGCCCTTCTTAAGTAGTAGAGAAAGTGCAGACAGAGAAAAACACTGAATCATTTCTCACGCGTCCAGCTTGGAGAGAAAGCACTGTAAGGATAAGTAACCGAAGTTTCTTCTTCCATTCTTCCTATCCCTTCATGTATAAGACAGCTTATTTTCATTCCACATGCTCTTTTATACCAAGCACTTGGTGAAAGATGAGGTTTCTGATGTTTCATCATAACCAATCATTTAATGATTCATAAGTGAAAAAGTTTTTATCAAAATACACATTTTGTCTCACTTCGAGAAAATCATTTCAGAAACACTAAAAGAAAGCATTGTAACTGTCTTATATATTTAACATTCTTGAATAACTTCCCAATAAGATATGAACACCCTTGAGAGTCATTCAATTCTAATTTATTATCTAAAAAAGGTACTTTTTCCTAAGGTTTATAAGACCTTTGTTATTAAGATCTTAACATTGTAAAATTTTTAATTGTTCCATTATGTGATCCATGCTGCAGCAAGACTTTCTTGCAGGTAATAAATACAGCTTGTAAGGTTGTTTTTTTTTTTTTTTTTTGGAGTTATGTGAGAGCTTGCCTCACTATCCATTGGTCATCAAGGTTCTTTCTATGTTCTACTGCTCAATTGTAAGCAAATTTCACCATCTTCCATGATTACCTGTTTTGTGTGCATTTATCTGGATACATTTAGTGTGAATTTCATGGATAAAATACCAATCCACTGGTATATTTTGCAATTACTGCTATGAATCTTTAGTTGCTGTGGTTCCATAATTATTCCATGAATATGGTTTGATCTTGAAAAAAATCTGAGAATAGATTTGTAAGCTCTTTTATTTGAAAAAATAGCTTTTCAATTTTTTGGTTTTTTTAAATATTAAACTGAAGGGTTATTTCTAAATTATGTGACAATATTTCTGTGTGCTAAGACAACATGGTATATAATTGATTAGTGAGTTTTTTGCTTTTTTTTTTTTTTTTTTTTTTTTTAAACACAGGCTTGGGAAATAGCAAGGATAAAATAAATCAGATGTTCCACGGTATTACAACACACAAGTTTATCTGAAGCAACTGTCTGTGTATATCTGTCAACTCACCATTAATGGTAAGCAGATGAGTGAGTGAAGAAAGTAAATTATGCTGTTTTATCCATGGGGAAAAGGCTAACTGTGACAATTAATATGCACAAGCTGATATTGTCTACATACACACTCACCTCCAGTAAACTGTTTACACCCTCAGCAATTTAGCTAAATGATATAACATGACTGAATTTCTACTCCTGCAGCAACAGTAGAAAGGCATTGCAACCTGACTGTCTGGAATACAGAGCCTGTGATAACACACTAACACTGGCATTAATAAGATCAGTACTCCATTATCACTACAATAACATCAACCTAGCATGAACATAAGACAATTAAGGCACACTGTGTAGATTATTTTTATTTTCTCCAAAATATGTCAGTGATTGTACTTAGTATCCTCCTTCTGATAGTTGTCCTGATGTTTCATGTTTCTGTCACTGCTGTTAATTTGTCCTCTAATGTTACCTCTGTTACATCTGTTATGTTTGGCCAGCAAATCAAATTTCCCTCTTTTTTTCTTTTTTTCTTTTCTCTTTCCTTTTTTTTTTTTTTTTTTTTTTTTTTTTTTAAAGCAAATATGACTTGATTGCTTTAATACTCATTTTTTCTTGGATATTCAGCTTGTTTCAATGACACCAGTTCTATTGGGAAGCAGATGGGACTTCTCTTCTGGTATCTTGCCATCCTGACAGAATGATGGATGTGAGCACTTGAAAATCTTTATCTCATTCTACTTTGCTCTTAGATGTTTTCTAGCTTCAGCTTTGAAACTGACACACAGCTTGGCTGATGCTTCTGTGCTTTGCGCTTTCATCACATTGAACGCTGTATATTCAGCTACTGCATTTCACTTTGCTTCTTACTTGTTTTCCTGTACTAACATATAGTACCTATATTCATGTAGGTAACAGAACTCATACAGTGTGGTAAAACACACCTTTTTTTTTTGGCTTGAACATATTAATCCAACCTTTCAGATACAGACGTTTCTGTGAAATGTTCATTTTCAACTTAGCAAAGGATTTTCCTTCCCAAGAGTAAATTACATTCTGATTCTTTCTGATAAAATGACGAGAGCAGTAGATGTTATGCTCAACTTCAGCAGAGTTCTGAACATCATCTACCCTAGCAATCTTCTATCCAAGTAAGGAAATTTTGATCTTTACCAGTGTAAAATGTATAAATAAATAAATAAATAAACAACAGACCTGTTTCAGTCTAGAAGAGGCTTCAGGGAAATAACAGCAATCTTTAAATACCTACAAGGAGGGGGGTTATGAATACAACAAAGCCAGGCTCTTCACAATGACGTATAAAGGGAGGATAGGAGAAGTGTGTAAGGTGAAACAACAGAGGTTCAGACCAGATACAAGAAATAACATCTCCACCATAGGGAAAGTCAGGCAGAGGAATAGGTTGCTTGGAGAGGTTGTGCCATCTCCTCCTTGGAGGTTTTTTGAGACACTATTGGATAAGACCGTCAACAATGTAACTCACTCTTATAGCTGACCCTGCTTAGAACAGGACATTGGACTAGCGACTTCCTGAATTTCCTTCCAACTTGAATTATGGTCTGACAACAGTGAGAGCCCCAAGTCAGGCACAATATTATTGTCCCTTGGCTTTTCTGAGTAGACATCGAGATTATTGTCAAAAGTCATTTCTGCTGTTCTGTTACAAAACCCATTTAGCAGGTTCTGTTCATAATGATTAGAGACTGTGCCTGTTACTACATAGAAATCTATGAGGAAATATGAAGTATGTTAAAGGTTACCATTATTCTTTGTAGTGCCTTAGAGAAACGGTAAAAAATTAAGAGGATGTAATTCAGTAAGCATAAGTTTTACATTTAGGAAGAAAGAAGAAATTATGGAAACCCAAGTGAGATACGCGGTAGTAGTTGTTAAGAAGAGTATCGGAAATTAGCAATGAATCACAAATCACATATGAATTTATGCTATTTTCATGCTTCATGTGCTATATGAAGTCATGCTATTGTTAAGAAGACTATTTTTCTTAATGGAAGTATCATCTGCAAGACATGACTTAATTCCTCTTTTCCAATCAGTACCAATAAAACATGAAATGTATCATTTTGCCTCATTGGGAGCACTACAATTCCAGGGAGATATGGAACAAAGAGAGTAACTGGATTGAATTGTCACATTTTATCTGAACAGTGTTAAAAGTAATAGACATGATCAGATGCCTAGAAAACATTTTTTGCAAGAAAATGTTGAAGAAACTGGAGATAAGCTACAAAAAAAAAAAAAAAAAAAGTAAAAAGATCAGACTATCAGACTGAGCTCCCCGTAGGCAACAAAGAAACTGAATAATCTGTTTTCATCAGTTTCATCATTGAGCATCAGTATTTTCTTATGACTAAGTCACCAAAAATGTTCTGTTCCCCAGCACAGAGTGTTTGCTTCTGTTTTGGTGCATATACTTTGCCTTCATATGTTTTTTTTACACTATTTTTTAAAAATTATTTCTGTTTTATCTAGTTGCTCTCTGCACTTATTTTAAACAAGACAGGCTAAACACCAACTACACAAGCAAAAAAACTAACAATTATTACTATTTAAATAACAATGATTATTTCTCAGCGATTAAAACTGTACAGGATTAGAGACCAAGGAATGGTTTTAGGAACAAACTGTCTGCATGTTGATGATCAGTACTACATAAAAACTGAATTGCAAGTAACATGCAAAAATTTCCATATAACCATTTAAAGTTGTGGCAGAACCTTCTGAAGACTGAAACACAGTAATCGAGTAAATTAAACTCTGCAAAATATGGACCTCATCAAAGCCCCCCTTCCACAAATGTTTGAAAACTTATTCAAAGCAACAGACTTATGAGGAGTTAGACTAGATTTTCTGATTCCACCTATATATACACAATGTGGATCATAGTTCCAATGGGAAATCACAGAGAAGCACAAGCTGGAATTCCTATGACATTAAGAGTTCTCAAGCCACTGTACCTCATAATTCATTCAAACTGTGAATACTCCATGACAGAACCAAGAATATACTTGCTATTATTATTATAATGCTATTATTATATAAAATTATTTTATATATAGTTCTGATATATAGTTCATATATACATATAAGTTCCTCTAATAGCTCATATAGTTCATGTAATAGCTCACGTGAATCCTAAAGATCCACATGAAAATGTCACTTGAGCTCTTATTATGTGAAGAGTTTATATTTCTGTAGGAACTTCATAATGCTAATTAAATTTAGAGCTATAACCACTCATAAGGTGTTAGGAACAACAAATAACTTTTTTATAGATACAAAGGTAGATCTTTAAAAAAAATAATCTGTCTTGAGCGTGCGTTTATGTAAATTTATGTAAATTGCTGAATCACTGTCAGTCATCTAAGTATTCATTTCACTACGAAAGTAACATTGTAAATAAACTGTAACCAACAACTCTTCAAGCTAAGCCAAAAAATGCAAATATTTTTTCAAAGCAAAAGAAAAAAAAAAAATTAAAATCATTTAAGAATATGTATGAGTCTTACCACGCCGATTGAAAAGTAATTATTGATGATGTTGTAAGGCACTGGGTCTCCTTTCTCGTCTTTATCGTTCGGCATTACTTCAAATTTCCACCTGTCCAGCAAAATCTCAGAGCTGTTCTCAATGTCTTTTAAGATCTTCATTAAATTTTCACCTTCATAACCTATGAAAAAGTGAAAATGAAGTTTTATTCAGTTTTCATTCTTTTTCTAGATGACAGGAAAAATGAAAACCATGAATATAAGACCTGAAAAAGTGGGATTATGTGTGAAGTATAGATAATTTTCCAGCACTTGTCATTAAAAGGAGTTAAAACATAGAGCTGACTTCCGCACCTAGCTACATGAATGTAAACTTTATAGATTTCTCCGGCTGTCAGATCAATACTGGAGAAAATAATTTGAACTTTTAAACTTGTCAATCCCTTGAATTTTCCCAATGATTGTAGCAACTACCCGAAGATCTTACATTACACATTCCTAAATATTCTTCCTTTGAAATTAATCTTAATACTTAAGTGTATCTGACTTCAAAATGTAGGCAAAAGAAAAAAGATTTTCAGATTCCTAGAATTATCTGATCAAAGTTTAAAAGAGGACAGGAAAATTAAAAGCTGCCTAGTATTTTTGTCAATTTTTCCACGTGGATTCAAATAAAAAAATGCAAAACATGAAATCCATTCATAACTGACACTTTATCAAGTGAACTAACATTTTTTCATCTTTCAGAAATTTCTTTAACATTCTCACCCAGACCTGTAGGGAAATTGTACTCTTACTTGCAAGTGTATCTGTCTTTAGGCAATTCACTAGTCCGAAACACTGTATACTAAATCAAGCAGTATTCTTGCTTACGTATTTTTGAATGTACACAAACTACAGTATGCACGTGTACACAGATATAAAAAGGGGATTTTCCTCGGTTATATTAACATCTGTACTATTAATACAAAATATCATTGTAATAAATAAGTAAGGCCTGTGGATTCATTCCTTTTTCTAATCAGAAATAATTTTTCACATTTGTGCAATATGTACTTGCTGGGTCATTAAAATAATTTGTAAAATAACACCCACATCTTTGGTACTCAGGTGTAATTTTTGTATGAAGAAAAATCAGGTCAAACATCAGGAGTTCTCTACATAGCTACTGAATCAACAAAAACTCAGGATGTCAAGGAAAAAAAAAAAACGATCACTGAAAACCTTCTTGATAAAAAAAAAAAAAATTCTGATATACTTTCTTATGTCTGTACAGTAAATTTTTATTCATTAGCTACTGCCAACCATCACCTAACAGCAGCGTGCACAGTTCCATTTGCCTTCACTGTTGAAAAAGTAGTTTAGTTTCTGCAAGCGCTGTCTCTTCTCTCAGACTACAGAAGTTCCAGAAAATCTGTGCTATGGCAAAAGGTGATTGGGCAAAGAATGAAGACAGACAGACTATTTTCATTCCTTTTTTTTTTTTTTTTTTTTTTTTTTTTTTAGTCTAGGTGTAATCAGTCAAAATAGAAGTTAAATGTCCAAAAAAGACTGAGATTTCCCAGGAGTCCAGAGAAGGGCCACAAAGAAGATTAAGGGTCTGGACTATCTTCCATATGAGGACAGGTGGACAAACACAGGTCTGTTCAGACTGGGGAAAAGATAACTTGAGGGGGGATCTGATACATGTTTATAAATATCTAAAGTGAGGTAGGAGGCAAATGTATGAGGCCAGGCACTTCTCGATAGTGCACAGCAACAGGATGAGAAGTAATGACCTAAAACTTGAACATAGGAAGTTCCATACAAACAGAGCACTGGAACAGGTTGCCCAGAGAGGTTGTGGAGTCTCCTATGGAGATATTCATGATGAGTCTGGACACCTACCTTTGTGACCTATTGTAGGGAATCTGCTTTAGCAGGGAAGCGGGACTTGAAGATCCCTTGAGGTCCCTTCCACAACCCCTGCAATTCTGTGATTCTGTCTAAATATGTAGAATTGAAAGGAAGGACATTTCCTGCCTGAGATAATCAAATGTAATCAAAACTAGTACTTATCTATTGCTGTTCATCTTTTTTTTCTTTTTCTTTTTCTTTTTTTTTTCTTTTTTTTTATTTTTTCTTAAAGTGTCATCATCAGCCTTTTCCCAAAGGAAATGAAAGGGTTCAGAAGCACAATAAATCATCCTCATGGTTCACTACAGCAGTTCAGAATCAGGTAGGTTGCATATAACCATTGTTGAGGAACACAATAATTAGTCAAAAAAGAATGAGGGCAGGGCACAGAGTTAGTCTCACAGTAAGCACACTCAATGGAAGTTTTCATGTGCCCGCTACTGATACTGCAGAATTTCTGGCAAGTGCCTGAGAGTAAGTGTCTGGAAAACATTCCCCATGAGGAAATGGATTTAAGAAAATGGAAGTATGCATACTGAATAAAAAGTTTTGTTATTGTTGCTGTTGTTGCAAATGATGAGAAGGAAAAATAGCTAAAGCCTTAAAAACACAGAACTTTCATTTTCTGCTGGACTCAGGTAGACAAGAGCCCAGTGCTGAAGGCTGTGGATGAATTAGCTACAGTTAGCCAATAAAGCCATTGTTCTTAGTATCCTGGAGGCCTGGGACAACAAAGACAACCTGCAGAGTATGAGGTTTGAGGCAGGGATTGTTTGAATACTTTACATAGACAAGTTCTTGAAATCAGCTGGGCTGCATATAAACATTTTGAGAAAGCTGGCTAAAACCTTTGCAAGGCCACTGTCTATCACTTATGAAAAAGTTAGATGACTGGGAGATGTCACTGGTGACTTGAAAAACATAACTTCCCAATCTCATCAAAAAGGACAAAAAAACAATCTGGAGAATGACAGGACTGTGTCACATTGACACCTGGAAGAAATCATAACCAAGCTCTTTCTGAACACACTTCTGTGCACATTAAAGAGAAGTCAACCAATATGGATCTACCACAGGTATCTCAAAACTACATGACTGCCTTTTGTAATAAGATGATTGGATTTTTGGATAAGAGGGATCACTTTTCTTATCAGCGATATGGATGATATATTGGAGCGCACATTCCTTGAGTTTGAGGATGTCACATACAAACTGATGCTCAAGGGCAGGATGCTATCCAAAGGAATTTTGACACGCTAGAAGATCATTGCTAAATTCAGCAAATCCCACACAACAGAAGAAATAACTCCTGTAATGATATAGGCTTGGGATGGACTGAGAGGAACAGCTCTGCTAAAAAAGCACCAAGGGTGTGGGCAGACAGCAAGTTGCATATGAGCTAACAGCCTGGCATCAAAGTAGTCCAACAGTATTCTCAGTCAAATGAACAGGAGCAGAGCCAGCAGCCTGAGAAGTGAAATTCCTCTCTTGTTAACCAATTAGAGTGTACACAGTTATGAGCACCACTGCCCAGCCCAATACAAGGCAGACATCCATAAATGGGAGATATTTCAGCTGAGGACCACCAACATGACTGGGGACTAGAGCATTTGCTCTGTGAGGAGAAGTTGAGGAAGACAGGCTTCATCACCCCAGAGAAAAGATGGCTTTTCAGGGCCAAATACCTGTTTCTAAGGCTTACAAAGAAGTTATTAAGAAGACAGAACCATGGTCCTCACAGCATTGCATAGGGACAGGATGATAGACAAAGAATGTGGACTGAAACAACAGCAATTCAGACTGGCTACACAGAAAAACTTCACCATTAAGACTGTCAAACACTGGAACAGGCTGCCTGAAGAGTCTGTGTTGTCTAACGTTCATAATGTTTCAAGCAATGTGGTCTATTCAGCTCTGCTTGGTGCAGGAGATTGCACTAGAAAACCTCCTGCAATCCCTTCTATCCTGAATTATTCTATGTACAGAAAGTGAGGTAAGGCTGACTTGTATTTTATTTTTTTTCCCCTACATTAAAAAAAAAAAAAAATCATAATAATTAAAAACCATTCGTGACAGTGGAGGTGAAGGAGATTCTAAAATGATTGGACAGAACATTACTGATAACAAAAGTTCCAAGAGTTCTACACAGATTTTTCTAAAGATGCATCTGGTAACAAGGCAGACATTTGGAAAGGAAACTTATGACGAGACAGAAGAAGAAGGAAACATTTACAAGGGCTGGGAATTTCCAAATAAAGAGCCAAGTTCCTAATACATTTGTACTGAAATGACTAACTGAGAAATAAACAGAGCTACTTTTGAGTCTGTGAACTAGTGTCTTTTCTCCAGAGACAGTCTTGCCTAAGACTTCCTTCTTCAGGTCTCCTTCAAGTTTTTATGTTATTCTTTTTACCGTACAATGCAAATCCTGGATGAAAGTAAGTTATTGGAGGAGCTGTGAATAAGTTTCCACACATACAGGAAAGGATGCAAAGGATATTAAACTTTTTACTTTACATATATTATCCTTTCAGCATTCTTTGTCTTCTCATTTCCTGATAAATTGCATCAAAACAATGATTGTCTGGAGTCGTCAGTAGGAGAAGAGAAGCAGAGCGGATCAAAAGAGCTAGTGTAAGGCTGAGAAATATTTTTCATTTAGAATTTACAAATATTAAAAAAGATAAAACCACTCCAAGCCCAACATTAAGCATTTTCAGTAACCCTTTCAGAACAGCCCCAACTAACATCCATTTAACACTTCTTTATAATTTATTGATTAAAGAAATAACTGCAATACAGATGGTAAAACACCAAACAAATAGCTATATACTATTCTCATTACACCTTGGAGCTTTTTTGGTGTCAGCAGAAGCTACAAACAAGGTATGAAGAGTGATTATGACCTTTAATATCTATAAAACAGTTCATATAACATTTACCGACAGCTAATTCCAAAAACAGGAAAGATCATAGTGGTTCTTTACATACATCATAAAAGAGACATCCAAATGTTAAGAGCAGACTTTGATGCAAAAGTTATTTTTTTTCTTTTTTAATTACATAGTACAAGGTATTTTAATTTATGTTTACCTCCTCCCCATCTCAGACACCTTGCTAAATCATTGCCAGTCCCAAGAGGCAGAATTGCAACTGGAGGATGCTTAAGCAAGTTTGCCTTCTCTGTGAATAAAGAAAAAAAAAAAACAAAACATACCTAAGGAAAAAAATATAATTATTTGGTTGCAATATAGTAACCATGTTACACTACGTTTCACTGAAAGACAGAGGTATGTACTCTGTATATGGGATCACACTGTCTACTCAACAAGCATTTAATTGAGTCATTCTATTGTGCAGCTCATTCCCTAGTCCAGGTACCATCTTTAATCCTAATTTACATTATTGTTATCATAAGGACAAAGAATTAAAAGTTGTCTATTGATTTACAATTTTCAAAGCTATTTGAGCATTACAATCAGGACCTTGTATTTGCAAAAGGACATTTTACCTCCTTCCTTTAAAATAAATAAGTAAGTAAGTTCAGAAACATGCATTTGCTATCATTCATTCCTTCATGACATCCTTCTTACATAGTTTTTCTGGTCTAGACCTCTCATAAAAGAGCCTATGACTTTAAATACTCATCACCTAAACATTCTGTCAAGTCTTTTGGTCACTCCATCTCCTTTCTCATTTCCATTGTCTTACATTCCCATTATTTTCTCTGCAGGCTCTCTAGTGCCAAATAAACAAACCTTTGGTGTGAGAGATGTGCTCCCTAATAAGCACGGGGAGGTTAAAATCTCTAAAATCTTAACCTCTGAGCCTTCCTAACTATTTGTACAGAGGAATTTATGGCCAACAAACTGAAAGAGCTCTATTTGAAATGATTACATACCCCACAGCTTACACATCTACATGTCTGTTATAGCATTTCTATTCAAAGGACCGTTATTTCATTATCTGCATAATGGGATAATGGAGTATAAATAGAAATGTTGTAGCCAATTTGTTTCAGTATAGGGAATAGACTTACAAAATTAAAGCAGTTTGATTCAAATTTCTTGTCTTCTGTAATTTTTTTCAGGGCTATAAACATTGGACTCATCTAGGGATCTTCATATCCTCTACAATTTGAATATGCTTTAAAATAATTATGACTCAAATTATGATATTTCAAAAAATTAAATGAACAACATATTGTACCAAATAGTTGCATCCACATGGTGATAAAGAGTTAAGAGTAATAAACGTAAAATATAAGAATCCTGCAAAAGTATGTAAACTACGTTGATTACCTATGCAATCCAAAATCCAGCCTACCGTCCCATCTCCACCACATGCTAGTACTCTGAACTCAGGAACATCTCGAAAAAAATTTAACCTAAAAAAGTAAATGAAGATATCTATTTAATAAACATAAATGCACTGTGCATACATTTTATGGCTTAAGACATTTCATTTGACAGCACCTGACAAACCAACATCTGAAATAATCAACTCTGACCACGCTCTCGCTTTTTTTTAAACAGAAGACAAAATATCATCCAACAATGAATTATCTGATAAATTTAAAAAGAAATTTATCCAAGAGTTATTATGGTTCACTGGTATTAGAAATGGTTTAGACATAATGGCTAATTCAAATTTTTGTCTTAGTTCATATATTAAAACATATATTAAAACACTTCCAAGTTGAAATATTTTTAATTTAAAACATTTTTTGATGATAGCTTTTGACCTATGCTGAAATTGTGCATAAACTGTGACTAGACAGAAACTTTACATTTATTTTATTGAATTATTACATATGCGCGTTCATGCATTTCAACATATATTCTTTAGTTTCAGAGGGATCTTAATGGATAGTCTACACGCTGGTGATCAGATTAAATTTCCAATTTGCAGTCTCCTAGTAAATGCACAATCGTTACAATGTGCAAAAATTCTTTAACACAAATAAAGCTACAGAATAACTTATAATATTTAAATCTATTTTCCTTATGACGCTTTAGTGCTGCACACAGAATAGTGCTTCTATCTCTAGAAAGCTATACATTTCTTATAAAATCAAGACCAAATGAAAAACTGCAGACAAAAAGAAGAGTGTGTGAAACAGAAAGTCCAATAGGAAAAAACAATAACAACAACAAAAAAAACCTAAGATGTAGAAAATCACAGGATAACTTTTTTAATTAGTTCCAGACCAGAATTTCAGGGTAAGCAATACTAGTAAGTCCATCAAATCGGAGTCCCACTCCCTCTAATTTCCTCTACTCCTAAGAGCTCATACCCAATAAGAAGTGTCAAGTACAACATTTCAAGCATGCTTACAAATTCAGCTTTGCTCTTCTCACCTTTTAAATTCTACTTCACACATGTGATGGACAACTGCTTTAAGATCCCTTCTGATCCAAAATGTCACATGCCAGATTATTTTTAGAGAATATATCTTTTAATAAGCATGTGTGTTGAAAAATTCTCTGCTAAAAGTCACAAGGCATCACTACAAGAGTGAGAGCAGTGAGATGTCCTGGCCCCCAGGTGTGGTTCTCCATCACTTCTTAAAAATAGGAGAGAAGATAAATGCCTCCCATCACCAGCATTTCCACTTTGACTTAATGTGTTGCATCTTTAGAAACTTATCAGATCTAGTTACACTACTTGCAGTACTGAAAGTATTTCAGATTAATTAAAAAAATGAAATAACAGTCCAGAGGTGAGGGTAGGGCACTATCTTCTGAAAATACATAAGCACTTTCCACCACACATACTAGATTCAAAAACAAAGCCTGGGGGAAAAAGCAACACATGTACACACAAACAAACAACAAGGATAATAAAAATAATCTCACAAATAATGACAATAAGAAAAAAAAATTAAAAAACACAACACAGAAACATTGGGTTGATGTTAATTTAATGCAGATAGGCAGAAATTAGATTTACATCTCAGTTGCCTTTTTAATAAGCAGGCATCCTCACCATGTGAGTAAAAGTAATCTTTTCCTGTTGATTGTATACTTAATCTTCATCAAGAAGAATATAATTTTCCAAGAAAAAATGGGGGACTGAAGAATTTGACAAAAACGTCAAACAAATTCTCAGTAAGATTCATTCACATTTCCCCTGGTGCATTTTGGTTGCATACACAGTGAATTTCCCTAACAATTCATTCACCTCATAGCACGTCATTAAATACAAATGACTTTTTATAAGTTTAAATGTAAAAGCAATATATATGTTATATAAAAAGTACAGAAATATAAATACACAAAACAAATGTAAGTTACAATATTCCTCATATTAAATACTTGTACACATAAACAGATTATATAAGCATACTGCTACATAAACAAGACAGGCTTCTTTATGTACATCAATCGCAAAAGCAAGTCTGAAGAAAATGTGGGCCCACTGGCAACAGAGGACACTAAGGAGGCAGTTACTGAACATCCTCCTTGCTTCAGTCTTTACTGATAAAACTGGCTTGCAAAAGGTCTGTTTTACCAAAATTTTTATCCCTACACTACAAGAAAATCCTTTTTTTTTTTTTCTTTTTTTTTTTAATATTTAGATGTTATTTTATATAGAGTTGATTTTTATAGATACTATAGTGAATAGCTTTCCTAAATCAGCAATTCAAACAGTCAAATAATAGCAAATAGCAGCACTAGAAAGGCACACAGGAACATTGTGCTGAAACAGACTGTAAGCCTAGTAACACCTACTCTTCAATCTCTTGCAAACATGCAGCAAGAAGGACGAGCAGAACTTCTCCTACTGACATCTACTACAGAACATGACACTTCTGATATATTAAAGAATAAAAGATAAAAAGACAAATATAATGAAATACAGAAAGAAAACAAATGAATGGTTGCATTCTAAGGCCTTAGAATAGCATCACATTTGCTACGAAAATTGTTTGATGATATCATTCCTGTTCTACTGAATGGATATAAACAATCCCCAGCTTTTGTTTATGGGAGACATGTGATTACATGTGGTTTTCTATCATCAAAATTAACAAGAGCATCTAATTCCTTTCTGATGGTGAAATTCTTGTACCATTAACTGCTGCCTCCTATTTTTTACAATACCTCACCATTTTACATGTTCCAAAAACATGTAGATAAAAAAAAACTAGAATTAAATAAGTATTTTCATGTTAGAAGATCCCTTGAAAGTTGACCTGCTTAAGTCTAAGCAAGTTTCTCACCTTCTGGAAGTAAAACAAACAAACTGATTGATAACAGCCAATAATTTTATTTTGCCAGATACAAGGATCTTGGGAAGAGACAATTACTGAGTTTCTCCTGTTTTCCACCTGGAAAATGGCAACCGTTTCAACTAACTAACTAACTACTCCAGTTCAGTTGTTTTAGATTTACAAAACAAACAGCAACATCAAACATCTCTACATCAGAATTTTGTATTTAAGTGATATAGATTCCTTTTCATTTTTAGGAACTCCTGTCTGATTCACATTGGCTTCAAAGGTTTTGAGACAATAACAGTGGGTCACCTTCACTGCTGCAGTTTTTTATGAGTGTAGCATGCAGATTCTTGTTTAATCCTGGTAAAAATGCATAGCAAACAGCGGTCCCTATGTTGAAAAATAGAGTTTTGTAACTGAGAATTTCTTCTTTCAAATAGTGTTACTGTGCTCCTTGTAACTGCTGTGGTTTCCATGGAAATAAATAGGAGGCATTACTTTTCTAGCAACCTATATAGTAAGGAGGCTAAAGATGAAGCAAAGCCTTTTTAAATAGATTTCAGACAACAGGTTGTGGTAGATTCACCACTGAAAAACTACAATGGATAAGAGAGGGATGAATTATTCTGGACCATAACTTTAGCAGTGTAGTCTAGAAACTGTTGATATTCACAATATTTGAAGATTGTGCTATGCATATTGCAGACATCCCTTTTACAGGTAAAAATACTCTTAAACAGATAAAACCAAAGAGTAAGTTTCACATGTTAAGACTCACAGAGTTCTACTGATTTGTGTACAGTACAATCATAACTTAACTGTAGACAACAACTAAACCACACTGGCTTGCTCTGTCTTTTGGAAAAACAAACAACAACAACAACAAAAAACGCATATGTATATATATATATACATATATACATATACATATATATATATATATATATATATATATATAAAACGCATATATATATGTATATGTATATATATGTATATGTATATATAAGAGAAATATATATATATATATATAGTTCTCTTTCAATGAAATATGGATCAAGTCCAAGGTTTTCTTCAGGAAAAAATAACTGTGCAATTATTATCTCCTCAAAGTATTATTGGTGTATATGTCTTCTCACAATACTCTGTAAATTCCCAGTGTTCAAACAGCAAAGAAATACTCTAGCAATCAATTCCAATAATCAGGGAAAATAGTGTAATTTTCAAAATAGGCCTATTGCTTTGTGAAGTTACAAAGGCCCAGGTGCTGTAGATTCCCAGCTAAATTACACAGCAAGCTGTAGGAATTCAGTTTGGCTATCTTGGGCATCTTTTAAGCTGACAGAACTTACGGTTTAAAAGGGCTGGCTGATGTAAACTTGTGGATAGAATTAAAAAAAGACATGCTCTCCAAATTAAATGGTTAAGGGACTTACAAAGAAATACAACTTTAGTGGATATAATTTCTATTATAGTGTATAAAAATAACATAAATTAGACATTTTAAATAATAGACTTAAGGGAACAGGAACCTTTTCAGAAGGACAAAGCCTTTGGGAAATGGTGACCTCTCAACAGAGCCATGTGGGTCTGTGGCTGGCTGCTATTCATCCAGCTATTATTTACCTCTCTGAGAGGTGAACAATAACCGAATTTCAGATTCTTGAAGATCATTAAATACACAATAACAGTTGTTGTCAGAAGTAGAAGGCTCCTATAGAGATGTAACAACCAAACAGGGAAACTCTTTTCAAGGCTAAAAACACAGGTGCTAGGCACAAATTACACAATGTATCAGCCTGGCAATTTTCATGTCACTTTGTTAACTGTGGCAGTCTGTAACTGTGGAGTATCTTTTATGTCTGCCTTCAGCTGTCTAGTTTACAGGGTTTCTCCAGCTCACTCGAATCTCTGCTCCCAAATAAAGAATGTCTAAACCATTAATTATGACATCAATGTTTAATATATATTGTTGCCCTTTGGCTGAGAGCTTCTCAGTTTTCGGGCACGGCAGCAGGTTAACTTTTATTGTTGTAAAAGAATCAATGCCAGAAAGTCAGCTCCACTGTGATTTATTTGCATCATGGCCATATTTTTATATAGATCATGTATACGAGTCTTGACACAAAGAGCATTGGAAACCTTAGCTTAAATATGTTAAGCAGCTAAAAGAAGTATCTTTGCTGCTGTCCCTGCAGTTCTCCAAGTATCACCATATCTATTATGAAACTAGGTGACATATCCACTTCAGTAATTGGACATTCAGATGGCAATACTAAATTTCCTGTCAGCTTGTTCAAAACATTTTCCTGCTGACCCACTACCCATCAGCACATCTACTGGAAAATGCACAAGTTCTGATGTTCCAGTATTAGTATTTATTTTAATTTTTAATGATTAATATTGAAAGGGAAAGTGGAAAGTACTAATTCCAGTTTTCAAAGAAATTTAAACATGGGACTCCACTAGTGGCCCTTCTTCCTCTGGGCAAAGACTGTTTTTTTTAACCCTGTTCCAGCTGCAGTGTGCAAAGGAATCCATTATTCCAACACAATGCCATGAGAGAGCATGGCTATTCCCCATTAGAGAGGAATAACAAATGACCTAGAATTACTGAGTCACTGACATTTTCAAAAAATACTGTAGTTTCACAGTACCCTAACATTTAGGATTTTTACAGGTTGCCCAGTTCCTCTAGTTTTTCTCCACTATCCACATTTTCAACTAAAGGGAACTGTAATTATTAACTTGGAGTAACCACAGATGTTTAGAACTCAAGATAGAAAACTTACAAATGCTATTCTCAGTCATTGACAGTACATCATTAGAAAGACAGCCTCCTAAATAACTAATTTGTGGGTTAAAACAAGCAGAAAACATGTAAATTCTACCCTAATCATATAAAAATTTTATAGGTTGAATATACACGTTTGAAAGCAATGTTCAAAAGAAAAAAATAAATAAAAATGAACACAAAATGTATTTCAATAATCATAAATGCATTAAAAGAAATTCACATTTATTCCTTTCCATTCTGTAATAGTAATTGGCATAAGGAATACACTTTCATTTATCTCCATGTTGTGCAACCCCCTCTCTCTGTTTCCCTCTCTGTTCCATGTAAATGACAATACTAAATAAATGTAACATTTTGACTGACAGTTCAGCATATCTGGCATTGTAGAGACTGATGAGTGAGTGGACAGATGAATGTACAGGCAGACTTTACTAGGCAATCCAGCCCCCACAGAAAGGGAAACAAACACTGGCAAATTAAATACACAGTGTATTCAACTGCATGCTTTAATGGACAAATTACATACAGAGTACATAGTATTGCCAGAGGCAAGAAGTGATGGTAAGAGATAAACTGGAAATTTAGGATTATTTACTTCTGTGTAATGAATTAAAAAAAAAAAAAAAAAAATACTAAAACAGCTTTAATAAAATGAAATCTCAGTTTGAAAATTAATTAGAAATTGCCTCAAAGTGACTCTGAAGTAAAACTGTTTAGATTCCTAATAAGAAGAGAAATTGAAAATATTTCCTAAAACCACTGTTCTAGTTCAAAAGTTTAGAGCTTAAATTGCTTTCAGTACAGGTCTGAACTTAACACTGCCCTCTTGTGCTTCTTCCTCAAAATACATTTTCCTTTATCACAAGATAATGAAAACCAAAGAACAGTTATAGCCTGAAATGCAGCCAATAATTGGTGGGTGGTTTTGTTTGTTTGTTTAAGTTTTGATGAACTCAGATTAATTTGAAATCAAGTATTTCATTTATTTTAAAAGTTGCTCTCTTAATCTCTTAGCATGACATTTCTATTATGCTCTTTGTAAAACAGTATCAGTTACTATTTTTGTGTCAAAATTTTTTATAAATTCCTGAAATAACTTTCTGTATTTTTTTCAAGTCTGCTTACTTTTTGTATCACTTAAAATTTCCATATGCTTCAAGATGAGTGTAACAAGACACAAATAATGTCTGAATAAACAAACAGAAGTAACATTCTGTACAAGATAAAATTAGAGACATGGAAGAAATCAGGCGACTCATTATTTCTGTTTTCTGAGCAGATTTTGTAACATTTTGCAGGTTGTACACTAGCCACACTGTAGCACAATGTACACTGAGAATTCTGACTTCAAACATGGTTGGAGCGCTTTTCACTTTCATCAACACATTTTAAGTCTAACATAACGCATGAATGGACAGTTAATATAGGATGGTTTTAATAGAGAATAATTTCCTGTGTATTTAGCTTTAAAATAAGCAGCACTGACAGAAATTGTTAGTCTATTATTTTCAGTAATACACCAATGACAACAGAAATACAACACTGCAAGGCACAAAACATGCATTTCCACTGCCACCCTTTACTTCCTTCAATTCAAAAACAAAACTAAAATCCAAAGATTCAAAAAATAAAAAAGGAAAAGCTAGATACTCACCATACATAAACAACAGCATAAACCTCATATTGAACACATCTCCTAATGTCTTTCTTGACTAATTTAATAACTTTTCTCGATGTAAAATTTCATTTATCAATGATGTAACTAAATAACACTGAACTCATACACACAAAGCTATTTTGATGAGATGATCAGTGCTGTCCTGTTTTCTTCTATCAAGGTATATGCTACTTTAAAAGGTGACAATTTCAAGTAGCAAAAGTTGGCATTTGATATATTGTCAATATCCTCCACGCATATTAATACAAAATTGAAGAGTCATGGAAGAGGCATGTTAGCTGACTGACTGCAACATTGATTCAGTTAACAATGAATCTCTGAAACTCACCCAAACTGAGCCCCCATAAAATGTCACTGCCAACATAATCTAAGTGTTCTAGTCATTTTTTGTACCCCTACATCCCAAATATTATTGACTGAATGAGGAAAGCTCAGCCAAGGTAATCTGAAGCAACATTCCATATCTGACATGCAAAAGAATAAGCATATGTATACATATGTATACATATATTCATACCCTATGTATCACACAGAAACTTATGTGTACGCACAAATGTTTTGATGTAAAAGAAAACTGTAGATAAACCAGGTTGCTAAAATAGCAGTAGAAACTTCAAAGAAAATGACATTTACCATAGTTCTTACAGTGTACTGCACGGTTATCAGTAAAACACATGATACACAGTTCTATTTGTACATGTAAATAAATAATACCTGTAAATTTCTGCAGCCATTCAGAGGTCTGTAGTGCTGATACATTCAAAGCATGCTCTATGTGCCTCAGTCTGTTCATTTGATTATGTTGCATTTCATTAAATGAGTTCCTGGTAATAATATTAACTGTAGACTTACCCTGGCATTGGTCCATTTCCAGCAAGACTATAAACTTGACGAGGATTTAAAAGGTACTGAAATTTTCTATAAATTCTAAAGAAGTCAAAGAGACAGAAAAAGAAAATTACTTACATGGTTTTGTTGTTCTTGTGTTTGTTTGTTTGTTGTTTGTTTTTTGATTTTTTTTTTTGGTTGGTTTTTGCTTGTTTGCTTGTTTTGTGGGGTTTGTTTGGTTTTTAAACTAAGTTGAATGCAGGGTTTGAATTTTGGGATCTTATTTATACACAGTGAAATAAAATGATAAATTTGAACACAATCCCCACAGTTATAGGGATAAAATTAAATGCTATAAACTATTTACGATACAAATACAAATGCTGTGTACCAAGACAGAAGTAAAATAGGACAAGGGGGTAAGATGACACAAGAAAAGGTGAATAAGCAAAGCATTTGCAAGAGCACTTAGTTTATTATTAAAATAGCTTCACAGAAAAGGAGAGATTTATCCCTGAGATTAACACAAAATTAGATTCTAATTGTAGAATTACAAATTGGTTCTGTAACCCACCAAAAACATCTCTGTAGCTTGAAAAACATCCTGAGAAAGCAAACCTATTGTCAACTAGAGTTGGATTCAGTTAGTGAGAACTCACATCTCTTTCAGATTATATTCAAATGGGAAGAAAATGAAAAAGATTAAAACTGTTGTTGAAATTTACATAAAGTAAATTTAATTGAAGTATGCCTAATTAAAAATTATCTGAATAATAGTAGGGAAATGATACAGAAGGTAAAACATTATCCTATCCCATAAAATACCTCCCTATTTCAAAAATATTTTAAAATCTATTTCAAAAAATATTTCAAAAAGTGTACCTTTACAAATTTGAGGTTATGTGTCCTAAAAGTAAGACAAATATTTTCATTCTTCAGTACAAAGACTAGAAATGTAATTTCCTTCACTGATAACAGTGTTGTACCTCCATGGTTTCTTATGAAGAAGCACATGAGTTTGAGCTCAGAAAGAATGAATACCTGAAAGAATGATATCTGGGATCTATGACAATGGTTTGAATTATTAACTCATTTATCTGCTTTTAATTTTAATGCTTATGTTTTCCAAGCTACTTAATATCCTGATGCTTTTTTAAAAAATCTTTTTTTCCTTCCCCATTGGAAGATATCTCCCTTTCTTTTTACTGACCTATGTAAAACAGAAGGATAACAGGAGCTGAATTTATTTAAAAATGACTACATAGTTTGAAATTCAAGACAACAAAACTGTTTAGACACAATCTATGTGTCTAGGGATTGAGGGATTACATATATATGTATATTGAAGAAATGCACAATTTATCAGGTTAGGTGGGAGAAAAGGATGTTACAATACTGAATACAAGCAAATTCATAACTATATATGAAACTCAAATTTGAACATTTTCTTAATTTCTCAATTATTTAGTATATCAGCTTCTTCATAAAGCATTATGTCCAAACACACTGAATACAGTTTATTCCTGATGCCACTGATGACAGAAGAAGTCAATGTGAAATGACTGGTTTCAATTGCCAGCATGCACACTATTATCAACTGTTGTGATGACAACTAAATCAGATGTTCAACTGTGGATTTACAAGACAGTACACTTTCAATCCGTATGAAGTATCTTACTGACATAAAAAGATCCCTTTTTAAATTTTTTTGTTAGCATGTGTGAGTTGCTTTTCCATGATACAGGAATTAATTGGTCAAATTTAATTTAACCTCTGCAACTGACAAGGAGTTCTTAAATAGGATAGTTAGGAAGTTCTAAAGGGTTATTATTTGCCTAAAGGTTAAGTGCTATAAAACATAGTAGCCAACAACCTAAGCTTACAGTACTGTTATGTAAGGTATCAGAGAAATGCTACAACAGCCTTCCTAATACAGAAGGAGCAAGGTATCTCTAACCAAAACCTGGAAGTCCACCTGAAGTGATAAAGTTATTAGACTGAATTATTTTTGAATCATTGTATGCCTTCCACAGGTCCTAAGTGAACATCAATACCAGATAATCACTCTTTAATGACTCACTGCAAATGACACATCATGCTCTAAGTTATAACACATTTAAGTATACTACTCTGCATAAAATTCATAACTTGATCATTCATTTCAGTGACTCCCACGAAGAAGAAACTGTCTATAAAAGTTTGCCTTCGTACTAAAATGTAACTAGATCTGACAGCACGACACATTGAAGACTGGTAAATGGACAATGATTTAGTCTTCCAGTTTTATGTGTGCAGTACCGAAAAACCTACTTACACTGACTTGTCTGTAGACATGTTGCCTCTGTATTTAAGGAAGGAACTGGACATGGTTATCTTGTGACTGAAGATTTGCTCAGACAGAGCCATGAGACAGCAAATTGGGTAATGCTACAACACAGCATTTTGTGATGGCAATATCAGCTGGCTTATTAAATGGACACTGGCCACTATGGCCTCCAGGTTGTTCTGAACCCATGATAATTTGACAAACAGGTCTATTTCTGTAACTGTTCTTATTTGTTATTCTGTTATTAATTAATTATTATTCTGTATTAATTAATGGTTATCAATTAATACATTTTTATATTAATATTAATTATTATTATTTATTATATTATTATATTAATATATATTAAATATATTAATATTATATATTAAATATATATAAAAATATAATTATTATTATATTAATATTATACATTTAAAATTAATATTAAATATTAATTAAAAAGTGGTTATTCTGTATTAATTAATAAATTCAAGCCAAAATTCAAATCCTAAGTGAAATTTCTTTGTTGTCATTTCCTCCCCTGCCCCTCCACTCCCTCCTCCTGTATCTCATTAAATCAGGCCCAAATTTCTTATGAACCCTACAGCAGTTGTATTAGCATAGCTGTGATGGTAAAAAATGACAGCAGGAGTGGCCAAGAGGGATGGGATCAGTCAAGAATAGCTTTGCTGATGAAGAAACTACTTCTGACTGCTTGGGCTGAGTTAGACTGAGCCTCCTAAAGTAATAAGATCATTCCTTTAGAGACAAAAGAAATGGACAGAAACCGGTAACTTAGTAATTCAGAACTGCAGTAAAGTTGACTGCATTGGAGAAAAACCTGGCCACAGCAGAGCTCTGTGCCATCTGGGAAATGCAACATTTCAGAAAGACAGTAAAGAAGCCAAGGCCTCCACCTTGAAAATAAAAGAATATGGGCAATTTCTCCCACAAATAAAACATTTCGGAAGGATTAACTGAAAATGATTCTGTTGAAATACTGTCTCAATGCTAAATGAAAGATTAGAAATCCAAACTAATCACAGGGTAGAGGGAAGAAATACTCTGAATAAAAGTTATTAGAAAACAACAAAGGTCAAAGATAACATCAGCCTGTACTGCAAAGACACTGAACGTAGAGTCAGCAGGAAACGTCAGTGTACGGAAGCTGTTCTCCAGTGCATCCAACCGCACATTTGTCAAGGAAACAATTGTTTAAACTCACCTGCTGGTCAGGCAAATAAATTGGAAAATGGGGAAGGGGAAAACAAAGTAATGAGTATGGCAAAACAACAGCATGATTTAGATTCTAGCTATCTTATTGGAGAAGCATTACCCTTAACAATAGCAGTGTTTAGAAACACTACAGCCCATAACTAGCTGTATATTCTTACATAGCCAGTTGTATATTCTTTCTGTTGAAATCAACTATTCTGTCCATGAGGTACTAAGTGCATTCACTGTATTCACTGATTATTGAAAGCTACCATCTTAATTTGTTAGATCTTAAACTCAGGAAAACAGGAACGTTAGCTATGGGGTGAAATGAATGTACTCTTTTTTTTTTTTTTTTTTTTTTTTTCCTGACTAAATGAAGCAAGAAATGTTCATTCAGAAATGTGCATTCACTGAAAACAAGCTATGATGTGATTTGTCCTGAGAAAGATATCTGACTGGCTTTGCTGAACTCCTATCCAACTTCATTTTTAATTGAAATCTATTTGTGGTATGTGAAAGTTTTAAGCTCATCAACTTTAATTCTAATTTGCAATTTTCTCCTTAATAAACATTAAATTACACTTCAGTTCTAATTTATCACATACATATGGATTATACACTGTACTAAACTGATAAAGTCCAAAACAAACTTGTTTAAATTCAGTTATATTTCAGGTGATGGGCAATAATATTAATCTATTTAGAAGAATATACAACTGGATTATTTTCATAGCATTCTATATATTTTTTTTTTTCAGTTATATCTGAAAATAATGTCATTAGTTTTTAAAAGAGAAACCTACATAAAGGATATGATTTTATCACTATACCTTCTGCAAAACTGGTTTTCTAACAATTCAAGCTTTAAAACACATCAATAAGGTAATCTGCATGATTATTGAGAAAGTAGCTGTGGTGCCTGAATACATTCCTTCCACATGTTCCTTTCTCACCACACCTCTTTTTCAACACTCAAAAACCATAACAAAAGCATTTAGCTTTGTTTCTTTAGAGGAATCCTCAGTCCCTTCCTTTGTGCTTTAGAGATTTTTTTTATTTTTTTTTTTTTAGGGGCAAGAGGGAAAAAAATATACAAAAGGAAAAGGCAAGAGTACTTTTTAGGGGAGTACATTTATTCAACTGGTTATCAGATGGATGAACGCAATCTCTAAGGGCAATGAAATGGGTTGGGTTACCATATGGCAAGGCATAAAATCTCATACAGGGAACTGTGGGAACACTGGAGCCTTGACAGTATCTGCAGTAACCTTTCTGTGTTCAATGAAAGTCAATCAGAAATCATAACTCAATTCATCATGATCTCTCAAATAGAGAAAATCCTAAATAAAGACTGGGAAACAGTTCTCAAAAAAACCACTTTGATTTCAATGAATCAAGATAATGAAATTCTCATCCACAAAAATTAGTGGAGGATTTTTTTGGTGTTTTTTTCCCCCCATTCTCCCACCACCTCCCAGCCTGTTTTGGAAACTGTGTTTTTGTTACAACCTATCCTCTACTCCTACTGATATCCCACTGCTATATACTTCAGTGTGTAATACCAATTTAAGTTAACAGTATTAGTGAATAAAGTGGGATTCATTTTTTTTTTTAAATTCAAATAACCTCTGTGATCAGTTTGGCACCAGTAACAATTGCATCAAAATAAACTGGAGAGTGTCAGACTGCAATTTGTGAATGGAAATGGGAGCTCTAACCGGAGAAAATGTTTCAAATTTGCTTTTATGCTAGAGAATATCTAATATTTCATGTGCCTTGTGTCAACTTCATTCAGATAGTGAACTTGAGACCAATTCTGAGCTGGGGACTGAAAGCTGTGAAACAGTATTTAACTAATTTGTGCCTTGGTTATGACTAAATAAATATGGCTCTCAAATGTACTTCTTATTTATATTCTACCAGACTGGATCTCTGATCTACTCACTTCCTATCTGAACTCTAAAAAAGGCAAACTGCATGCTACTGCATCACCCCTACAATGCTCCTGACTGCCCATCAGGACCACCAAATGCTATGTTTGAAAAAAGAATGCTTTATGGTCAACTGTTGGTTTGTAGCATATTCTTATGATTGCAGAGGTAGGCATGGTGAACCTTTTGGATTAACCATCTTCAACGTAGTTGGCACTGTTGACATTGCTGATATTCAGGTATATCAGTACAGGGAACAAATATCCAGCTTCTAGATTCTAGTATCTTCTTTCAGAGGACTTTGAGTGCAGTTTTGGTTAGATGAGCATCAGCTCTGAGAATTGTCCTTACAACAATTCTTTACCCCCCTTTGTTGGATGGCTTTTTAAGAGACAGTGTTTCAAAGAAACGGTCTAAAGGAATCAGCATTAAATTGGTAGGGAAAGTTGACTCAAGTGCTCAATTGTTCAAAGCTTTAGAAACACACTGAATCCCTCCTTTTTGGTATTCACATAATCCAGTACCTATGTATCATCTTCAGCTTGATCTTGGCTAGATGACTAACATTTTCAAGACTTAAACGATAAATTACAGCAATGACACCAAAATAAAAACATTCTAATTTAGAAGTTACAATATAAAAGTCAAAATGTAACAACACGTCTGCATGCAAATCACACAAAATCATACAGGGAATGTAAGTTTTCCTTCCGATGTTAAATTAAACCTAGAGCTTGTTCTAGTTTTTAACTGTAGGATTTCTAACTGTATGCTGGTGTGTACCTCTTCTAAACAGGGCAACGATATGTCAAAACTTGAAGCACACCATTATAAAAAATATTTACATTTCGGGCGTCTTTTCATATACGAAGCCTTAAAAATCATTTTAAAATATATTACAGAAATTAGAAGGGAGAGAAAATGTAAGAGAGAGAGAGAGAGCAAGTCTTACCTTTCTCCTTGTTTTCCACCACTTTTAGGATTGACAAAAACTAAAAGTGGATGAGTGCCTGGAACTGGAGTGATCTAAAAGGAGAGAATAACACAGCTGCTCATTAATGCTGTGTTGCACTCTTTTTTTCTTATAGCAGACAGAAAGCAAAAGGCTTAATGCAAACTATGTTAAGTTCTGTAACCTAGCTGGCAGCAATTCTACAATTTACAATAATATTTAATTTATATACATACATATATATATAAAACTCGTAATTTGTGGCAAAGTAATACATACTAATACCATTAAATACATGTATACATACACACGTGTTTAATGCTCGGTGTCTATAATACAACTGTGATGTCATTTTAACCTGTAATTCCATTGGAAACAATACTGCTATATGTAGGTTATATCTGTCAATATCTTCTCAATAGAGAAGAAAACTTCAAATCTAAGAAATGCATGATTGATTCTGACAAAATAATAATTTCCTATGGAAAAAAAGCTATAAAGAAACTGCATTTTGCAGTGAGAAGAGGAAATGACACTGTACTATAAAGGTGAAATAAAGAATGATGAAATCTTAAACTCCATGTAGCTGTTTTTTAATTTTTAATAAATGACAAAATTGCAATATTTGATATGATATGAATTCACATGCTTTAAAAATGTTACAAACAGAATAATAACCAGCTCCTCTGAACAATTTAGAAAGCTTGAAATTTTAAAGGAGAGAAGAAAACACAAAAGAAGGACAAACTATGGCTTACAAACTAACTTCTTCCTTCGAAGTAATAATAATAATATCAGATGGTATAAAACCCAAGCGTTCACTGTCATTGCTCTAGACTGAAAAATGTAAAAGGCTTACATAAGTCTAGAATGTTTAAAAAAATATTAAGAGTTTAAAGCCAACATCTCTGAAGTCATACACTACTTATCAGCTACAGAGATGATAAAGCTTAGTTACTGTTTCAAAATAACGTACTTAAAGTTCTTGCTTAAAATCATTAATCACAACTGCTGAAACAATAAAATCTTTTCATTTGAATGTTCCACAGAATTTAATTTAGGACAGAACCAAGGAACATAACATGTCTTACAGGTATCCTGTAAACACAGCAACATAGTCAAACAGACATCTGAAAGCACTCTTCTTTCAGTAGCATGTGTTCAGCAGTACAGTGTCAATTCCATCCATAACTTCATAAACAATTGATCAAATTCTGATCTAGTATTTAACACATAATAAGGAAAAGCTCCATCAAACTTTAGAATTAAACCAAGTACAAAACTAAGCCCAGATCAGATTCTGTCACTGTAGATTGTTTCAGTATAGTGGTGCATGTTGAAACATATATCAAATTACAGGATATAGTGAAGTTTGTCATATATTTAATTTTTATCTACTGTTTTAATCAATTTTAGTTGTTTAGCCAATTCCCATGATGTTTGTCCCTGTGAACTACGTGTAAACCAATGGTGTTCATTGTGACAGAGATGGACTACCTACTGAAATCCCTTAGGATGCAGGTTAATTAATGAGACTCATCCTAAGGTTATACATGATCTATTACTTCCTCTAATTAGAAATAATAATCCTGATCATTATGCTGGTTAGCTGGAAAGAAGCAAGATGAATGTGCTTAACTATGATTAATTGTCTTTAAGTTGTGCAGATCTCCACTGTCACTAAGTTATCTGCACACAGCTGTCTGATGGAAGGAAGGATTGGTCATGATACTTTTTTCAACAAAAACTTAGATTTGAACATATATAAAATAAAAATACTTTATTTCAGAACTTTACTGTTGCAGGTAAGTTTAAGATCATCAAAAAACAATAATTGAATAAGTAGTTTGTGTTCCACTGAATTCTAAAATAATGTCTTCCAATTATTGTTTTTTAGCTTTTCTAAATAATATAGATTTTTACATAATGCAATTAAAAGTTTTAGACTGAAAAGGTGAACATTTTTAGGCCTTAATCTAGAAGGATATAAAGGCAACTTCTATGCAGTAACTGGACAAGTGACTTAAAGTTTTTGAGAACAAGCCTACTTAGTTCTATTTTGACTGTGGAAAACATTTCAAAATTATACAATCTGTGAGTGAAAAAAAAAACACCATAACTTCAACAGTCCCACAGATCTGTCTTTCACGATGGTATCCTTTGGAGTCCATTTATCTTTCACAATGACCAGGCTTATGATTACTGTTACCAATAAAAAAAATTTATGAAGATTGCTCTGAAAGTAATGCTTCCTATTTGTTTCAATGGGAACTATAACAGATGCAAAAAGTACATTGACACTATTTGATAGAGCAAATTCTCAGCTTCAAAACACTATTTTTTTTCAGCAGTCACCATTATTAGCTATGCATTTTCATCACATCTTGTCACTGGTAATGATGCAGTTCAGGAAACTGTCACCTTCAATCTTGTATTGGTTCGACAGGACCTGACAAACTTGTATACGGTGTTCTTTCTGTTCCTGTGTGAGAATCTGTGGGGCCAACCTGGCACAAACTGTGATATTCCAACATTGCCACCATTTCCAATGCACTGAAGATGATACTCAGCTACACATACACTTTCATAGTTGTAATCCACTGAATTGTGCAGATGAGTTTATCAAGTTGCTCTCCATTTCACTGAGAGACAAATGTGCATGGCTGTCCAGAACATGCTTGTCATTCATGATGCTGTTGACACTACTGAAACATGTTGCTCACCACTTCACTGTGCTCCCATCCACTGTTTGGTCTCTACAGATGTTCAGTAAGTGTCGACAAATATCAGTGGGTGCCATTTTTTTTGCGTGAAAGAATTCAATTTCACATCTTTGCTTCATCTGCATTTCCATGTCAGATGCCATTCTGTCAGACTGCCACACCACTGCCATCTGCCACACGGCAACAAAATTTAAGGGAATGCTGGCAGAAAGGTTCAACTTCTACAGCCATTCCACCAATACCTGCCTCTGACAATTTGGGCCAACATAACAAAATAGGAGGCATTACTTCCAGAGCAGGCCTTTAATGGTTTGTGCAAAGATGGATTCTTATTACTTCAATTTTATTTAACAGAGAGAAACAGTGACTATACGAAGATCAGAAAATTAAATACATCATTGCAGAATTATCTCTACTGCTATCAGTGTAATACGATACTTTGTAAACAATAATAAGTGCAATTACAAATTCCAAGTTTTGGACTCGTAATTGAAAGAGATAAGTTTTGGCTCACAATAACAAAATTACAGAAAATCTAATGCCATAATTACCTAAAAGAAGATTTTAATAATTTAAGAATGTTGCATATGCAAGAGTGGTGCTAAGAGATTACTATTTTGAACCTATCAGGCACTGTATCACAGGAGTGTGAAATACCGACTTGAATGATTGCAGAAAACAAGCTATGAGGACAAGCAATCTAGCACTAGAAGTAAAACCAAAAATCATGATGATACATTGCTACCAAAAGGACATTTCAAAGATACTTTTCAACCTAGAGCTTTTGCGCACACTGGAAGCATACTTAGTAAACATAGAGTTTTCTAACTTCCAGTACCATTCTATTAAAAATACTATTTACACTGTGTTTGACAGAGCTTAATTACTCCATCAGCAAATACTCTACGCCTTTTGCTTTATGCTCTGTCTGTCTCAAATGATCTGAAGAGTAATGCAGCCTATGAGGATGGCAAGTACATGAAGACAGAGCTGGGAGCCATGGATAATGACCACCGTAGTAGTATAATGCTAGGTCATCTACTAGCATCATGAGGCTGAATAAGTTTTACCCTTCTTTCTTTTTTCCCTTTGAGTCGTCACAAAGAGAATGTTTCACTAACCTCAAAAGAGGAAATATTATGTCTTTCTATACAGGCAAAATGGTATTCATTATGAAATAATTATAAAGCATTCAGTGTTTGATCTATGATAACAGAATCATTTTTACTGAAGCTCAGTTGTAGCACATCAAAAGGAAGAGAGAACAGTCTACTATGTTTAGTAAACAATTATCACATAGTTATCATAGTAATTATTTAACTCAAGAAGAATCATCACACAAATGAACAGTGACTTTACCCTACAGTAGTATTGCTACTACTGAAACCTACTTTGCCTTTCTCCACCCTGAATTATGACGTACCAAATTCCCTCCTTGGCAATACCTGGAGTAATAACATCTTTGAAATATAATCCATCCATCTTTCAGTTAAAAAGTGAAAATGGGATGAATCAATACTAACCAAGTAATAGATTTATAGCATAAATTCAAAAAATTGTTGAATTACAAACACTAAAATCATCAAATCCAGCTTCACTCATGGCACAAGTACTTTACAGCTAATGTTTGCCCTCCATCTCATTAAGTCCTACAATCATATGAGAAGCAGAGTATTTGCGTGGGATTACTGTAAAGATGGAAGAATTTTGCTTTTTTTTTTTTTTTTTTAATATGTAAGAGTGAAATATTAGAAGAACTAATGCATAGGAAGTGCTTCTCTTTAAAGATTGGTTACTCTATTGTTGTCTGCATTTCTCTTAAAATTAAAATAACAATAATCACACCTGAAGACCTTGTCCATCTACAGTGATGGAATTTGCTCTCTGCATTTTGTTTCGTTCTCCCAGTTTGTTCATTTGCTGCGGACAACCCTTTTCTTTCTTCACCGTTGCCTGCCTTTCCTTCAGAAAAAAAGAAAAAAAAAAAAAAGAAAAAAGAGAAAATTAAACATTTAAGCACATTATATAATGCTACAAAACAATAGCTAAGATCACACCTCTATGCTTTTTGACTAGAAAGTAATGCCAGATTCTACTTTAATGAAAATGATATCTCAGTCAAGCTACTACACAATGACTGTCCACTTCACAAAATATCTATTTGCCTGGACATTTCATAATGACTAGGCAGTAGATGGATGAAGGTGTGCAGTCACAACAGAAATTAATGCAATCTGAAAAGATAATCTGACATTGCTAACATTCTGAAAATTAAAACCAATCATACAAAATATGTAATTATTTAACAGATCAGTTATATCTCACAATCTCTAACTGTTAACAAAGGCTGGATGTTTCAAGAGTATTTCACCACTTTCAACAAAATATACCTGTTCTAAATGTACCATGATCATTTGACGGTCTATCTACAAGAGGCTGACCCTTAAAGCAGCTTTTTCTTAAAAAAGGCATTTTGTTTCAGAAGGAAACCAGCTGAAGTTCTGATTCTACATTAGATTCTAAGCAGCTGTCAACTTTTGATGGTGATATACAGCACAATCAGATTGGTTTTTGAAAAAGAAACGCTTAGAAGTTTGTATGTTGTTATCATCACATTTGCAACTCTTGTCAGGTCACTTCAGAAAACTCTGAAAGCAAAAACTGTCCTTGCTCTTTGCATGTCATTTATCCTATTTATAAACTGCACCCAGCATGTCCTTTTAGTTTGTCCAAAAATGCACCATAAATTAAGACAAGCAGATGTTTGTCAAATAGAATCAGTAAAACCAATCCTGACTGCTCTCCAGCCACTCTCCTCACTTCACAAGAGTGAGGAGGCTTTCAATTGTCAGGGGAAAGGGCTGGCACAAAGCTGCTGCACTGGAAAAGAACATGAAGGACACTGTTGCATCCCCTGCAATTGTCCTCTGTAAATATTCCATTAAACATTAACCATTTACATTCCATACCATCTCTGAAGATGATAAAGCCTAAGGGATTGCACAAGCAATTAATCCATGCCACTTTTTCTCTAGCAGTTTAAACTGGTAAGAAGCAATGACACAGACTCCCTGGGGAGGAACGGAATAGTTTCTAGCTTAACACTATGCCTTTCTAGAATCACCGTAACACAGATGTTTCTCACCACTGTTTTTCTATCATTGTTGGTTTCCTTAAATTTGAACACCAACCCAGCCTCAATCTAATCCTGAAGCAAACAGTGGCCCAAATCACCCCTAACTGTTTTGGGTAGTCAGGCACTTTGCAGAACTGTGGCAATATGCTGATGATACCAGTTTGGAGGAGTAGCTGACACACCAGAAGGCTGCACAGCCATTCAGCAAGACCAGGGCAAGTGGAGTGTTGAGTGAAGGAAGAGAAAGCTAACGAAGCTCAATAAGGGCAAGCGTAGAGTCCTACGCTTGGGGAGGAATAACTGCAAGCACTGTTATAGATTAGGGGCTGACCTGCTAGAAAAGGAGCTCTGCAAAGAAGGTTCTGGGTGCCCTGGTGGACAGCAAATCAACCATGAGTATCAACCAAGAGTTTGTCCTTGTGGCCATGAAAGACAATAAGAAAAGGTACGGTCAGAGGGTTGAGGGAGGTGACATCTGGAAGAGTAATATGTTCAGTTCTTGGCTCTCCAGTTTAAGTAAGACTCCTCTAGAAAGAGTCTAGTAGGGAGCCACAAAGACGATGAGGAGCCTGGAACATCTCCCTTATGAGGAAACATGGGATTGTTCAGCTTGAAGCAGAGAGGACTCACAAGGGATCTTATCAGTGTTTATAAATATCTAAAAGGCAGTTGTCAGGAGAATGGGTACAATCCCATTTTTCAGTGGTGCTCAGCAACAGAACAAGGGGCAACAGGCACAAATTGGAACACATGAAGCACCAACTGAACATGAGGAAAAGCTTCTTTATTTAGAGAGTGGCAGAGCACTGGAACAAGCTACTCAGAGAGGTTGTGGAGTTTCCTTCTCTGGAGATATTCAAAACCCATTTGGACAGTTTCCAGTGCAATCTACTCTAGGGAACCTGCATTAGAACTCCAGAGGTCCTTTCTAATCTCTTTGATTCTACAATTCTATAATTAGATTACCTATAAAAGGCAATTTAAAAAAACTATGTTTCAGGAAAAAAATGAGGAAGTCCACAAAAGGAGACTTCTAAGAAGTTAGCTAACAGTTCTTGGATGCTTTGAATAACCTGACCATTTCAAAAGGAGATCCAAGTATCTAGGCTACAATGCCATCAGTTTACACAGAAAACAGTAGAAACAACTAAAGCAGTGAAATTCAGCCCTAAGGTTGAGAATGCTGTCTGAGAATTCAGCAGCTCTGTGTTCACATGCTTCATTATTTTTAGAAATTAGAACTAGTTTCTAGTCTGTTTCTGACTAGTTTCTGAGCATCCAAACAGTACACTTGTGAGCTAATACAAACTTTAATGCACAGTGATATTGGCTAGTGCTAAGGATAGAAAGTATGACACTTCAGCATAAAGGAAATTTCATAACTCACTACATATTTAAAATGGCTTTGATGTTTCAAACTCTACTCTTAAAAGTCAACACTCTCTATACAAATTGAGAATAACACCATAAATAGAATTTTATATTATCTAATCTTATAAGGCCAAAACTGGATATTGCAAAATATTCAGAAATTAAATGAGATTTCAGAAGTGCAGACACATGAATAGTAGAAAACTGCAACTCAAAACCAAAATTACTGAAGGAGAGAGGATTTTTAAAAGTCTAGATGATTCAAAGTTAACAGAAAGGAACAGATTTGACATAGATTATGGGTATATTAAGAGCTTAAAAACACCATTCAAAAGAGGCCTTGTAACATCTGGCATCAAAATTCTTCTTTTACTTGGAGAAAAAGTATTTATATACTGTTGAAAATTAAGGATGCTTACCACAATAACCAAAATTTCTGTTATCACCCATTTTTGAGCAAAATCCAGTAACAATTACTTTAAACAAAATTTTTGATACTGTTCTTTATCCCAGCATGAGACAAAACAGCAAATACCTTCATTTGACCTTGGCTCTATGACTGATGCAATAGCAATGTGCTTTCCACGTCCCATAAGCAAAACAATTGCTTGCCTTACAGATCAAAACAATTCCTCCTAAGCAGTGACCACAAAACTCAGGCCATATACTCTGCACAATTTAAAGGAAAAGGTATATTCTTGATATGGAATTCTCTAAAGTGTTACAAAAAATCAAATATAGATATTTGATGACACTATACTTGAAGGTCTATTTTTCCAAGTGAGTACTAATATAGTATTTCCTATCACCTCTCTTTCTTTCAGGAACCACAATGTAACATTACTAAGATATCCAAGATTGTCAGGAACCAACAAGTTCCATTCTCTTATCAAGTCAAAACAGTTTAAGAAAGTCTTCTTTGGATAATATTCTGCAAGTTCTAGCAATGTTAATCCAAATTTAACATGCACTGAAGAAATGGTTTTAAAAATGCAAACATTTATTTTTCAGCATAAGAAATGCTGACACAACAACTGTTCTGTATTTAATATCTTTTCTAATTGAAGCATACAAAATGGATAATGCATCTGTGAATGATTCTGTTTAGAGAACATGCATGAGGTTGACAAAGATATTGAATACAGCATTTCAAAAGCTATCGTACATTTTGACGGCTCAAAGAATTGTGAACTTTTCTGTTCTTTTGGTATATGCCAGAGCAAATACCTTTCAAAACAGTACTTACCAAAACAATCTTTTCCACCCATTTTTAAATATCTCCCACCCTCTTTTCTCTCCTTGAACTCTCACACTGAGATCACTACCCATTAACTGAGAGGATGGAGCTTCTAGGATTCAGAACTGCTCCAGAAAGCACCGTCAGATAATAACTATCCAGCTGAATCTATCTTTCACTAATCCAAATAAGAATTAAAGAATTAATGAGACAGGGCCTTCCAAACAACAACACAGAACACCATGCATAGATTTATAGTTCAGCCCCAAAATGCACTTTTAGCAAGAAAAATGTACGTTATCATGATCCGTTAGCATTTGTGCGCACAAGGATGCCTCCCATTACGCACCTCAGGGATCAAACCTCCTAAAGTGGGTAGCGTCTGTTGGAAAAAAAGAAGGTTAGGCTGCAATACCAAACAGCTGAGATGGCAAGGGGCACTGCAAGGGCTCTCACAAGGAACCTTACCTTGCTGCAGTTGTTTTCAACAACCAACATACACTGTGTTTCACCCCCACCCCCACAACGTATTTGCACAACCTGAGACATTACTCCCGTAGTGTTTTACATTACATAATTCATATTCCAGGAATAGTATGTGTGATCATTTTATCAATAACTGAAAGTATTATGAAACCTGAGGACTATGCTACTTCATACAATAAAATAAGGTACTTGGTACTTAGGGAATGCTCTTTTTATTTCATCTCCTAAGTCTTTGAAACCTCATTCGGTGTAAGGAACATTATTTACAAAGTTCTCCTCTATTAAAGTGGACGAAGTATAAAACATATACGGTCGAAACAGTATTTCTATCCTTTCTTTGCATAAACAGTCTTTTCCTTTACACAAAAGTGACATTTAGAAATATGAAACTCATGAGAAAACAGATGAATACTAATGACTTACTAATTATCTGTTTACATTTTATCTGCTGACATGGAATCCGCTGCCTATACAGCAAAAATTATCATACATCATACATATCATGTGATCATACATAACAGTACATTTTTAGAATCTGTACATTAAACAGGATTATTAGTTACTTGACAAACTGTGCAATGATATAAAACCATTAGTGAATATTAGCATTAGTACTCACTAATGGTTTTATATCATTACACAATTTGTCAAGTAACTACTGAAAACATCAGATGATTTCTGTGTGACTACTTTTATAGTATACACCTACAGATAATATGTGTACTTGAAAGC